GGTGTAACTTTCCAGTTTTGCCCATCAATCTCCAAGGTCCAGGGCAATACCGACAATCTGGTCCTGTTCAAAGATTCAATTAATTCTACACTACATGTACCTTGGGTCTCATCTTGGCGGCTGAGACAGGCCACCCCAACATTTGGCAGCACCAGTGTCAGCTTTGGCAGGATAAATCTCCCCAGACTTATCCAACGGCTATGAACATTCTAAACTAACACGAGTTTCATAAGTGTCCAGTTTAAGGGTATTACACAGAAACACACCACAGGAACACGAATCAAATATGTACTTTATTCATTTACAATAAATTCATAATGTACATTATTCATTGGAGGTAAGGGCGTATATGTACTTTATTCATTTACAATAAATTCATAATGTACATCATTCTGATTGGAGCTAAGGGCATACAACTGTCTAACATCTCTATTACATAGGAAGTTTTCATGCATAATTTATATCTACATATTTGATCATCATCATCTAAACCTTGTTCAAACTATATGAGGTGGCTACATGAAATCCTGTTTGCCATTCCATTCTATTTAATGCCATACCATTGTTGATATTGTTAAATTATGAGTGCTTAACTTATTTCTTAACTCTTCAACCTCTGTCCTTTTTGGTCTGCCACTAGCCCTTCTAGCCCCTTCAACTTGCAACAGATAACATCTTCTTAAATCTATTATTTTCTTTTAGAACCTGAGAGATGTGTATGCATTTTCATGTTATCAGATGAGATGTATCAGAACCCACCAAATTTGTACAACGTTGATGAAATTCAGACTTTACTAAAGGAAATTTCTAAAAATTACAACCTGCTTCAGTGTCATGTGATATGGAATCAATTCATTTTTGTTTTACATACACTTTTGGATCCACACTCTTGACTCTTGTTAGGGAACAATGGGAGGGCAGGATTCTTGTATCTGACCTCAAATAGTTGGGGTTAAGTCTGAGTTGCACTAAATCCATATTGAATTCTAGAGAGCTTGAATGCAAATAATTGTGCGTACTTGGGCCCTGGAGGAGTTGATGCCTTTATATAGTAGAGCTGCCGTGGGTCTCACGAAACGATTCCGGGATCTTCGGCCTGAGTAGATGAGATCCGTTTCCGCTTTAGACGGGGAGTAACGTATCAGTCAATGAAGTCTATCGTTACCGCTCGATCCGGGCGGGTAGAGGATAACGCCTACCGTTGCCCGGCGTGATCCCGGGAGGTTCGAAGTCTGTTGAGAAGCTTTTGGAGTTGATTGCGTGTCACTTTGATTCCTGGGACCCGAACTGACTTGGGTGTTGAGGTGCCTCTATACCAAGGTGACTCTACGTCGAGGTGGCTTTATACCGAGGTGACCGAACACCCGAGCTCTGAAAACTACTGACTAGGCTCCTCTTGCTAAGTTGTCATCCTATTGGCAGATTGCGACCACGTGACCTTTGCTTACTAGGTTGTGCCAAATTACCCCTCCTCAATTGCTCCCACTCCTCGTGACAGGTGTCTTGACCTGGCGCGAGGAGTTCATGACGAGCTTAGGTGGATTTGGCACGATGTCTAGGTGGTATGGAGGGCGGACCTTCGGTTGGACCTGTTCGACCGTTTGGCTCAACCAGGAAGTGACCCAGATCGCGTATCAGGTATGTGCAGACGTCAAGCTGATTTTAAACTCTGAGGATGTCAAAACACGCTCTCAACTGATTTCAACCTTGGGTAGTGTGCAACCGATTTTCCTAGGAGCCGTTGGATCGCGCAGATCTCGACCATTGATCCCCGGATATAATGGCTATAAATATGGGCCGAAGGGCCCATATTCTTTGCCACAAACTGCGTGTCTGAAGTCCTTGAGGTCGCATCCAATAGGGGTCGAGGTCGTCTTGCTTTCTTCAGTCTTCTTTGGTGAGTTTATCTTCCTTTGCTTTCGACTCCATTGTCCTTTCCATTAGCATGCCTAGTCTTAGCTTAGATAGCCTTTTAGATGGGAGCGGTGAATCCGTTGGGGCCGAGGTGGGTACCTCGGCATAGACTGCGGAGCCTCATCCTACTGAGGTGGGCACTTTGGCATAGGATGTGGACTCCAGCCTGTTCAAGGCGGACTCACCTCGGCGAGAACGAGGAGTCTCTGGCAAGTCGGCCTCCACCTCACACCAAGGTCGCCTACTGGACAGCTTTGGTCCGTCTACAATGACAGCGGATAGGCTCCTTGTCTTTAGTAGCTCGGTACAGACTCCCTAATAACTTGGTATACAGTATTCCCTTAGGCAACTTTCCTTGAGATCACGGTCATGATGAGATCGTGGTCTTCGAGGAGCAGCTCGTAGCCGGGTTGTGTCTTCCACTCCACCCTTTCATAGCCGAACTTGTTAAGTTTTTATCGCCATAGACCAGCTACATCCGAACTTCATCCGCAACATCGTAGGTACCATTTCCCTTTTCCATGATTATAACCGACCTCTAGACTTCGACATCTTTTTTCCGATCCTCTCCATCAAGAAGAACTCGACCCGTGTTCTACCTGAGCATAGGCGATGTTATTACATGTCTCCTCGCCCCGGGTACAAGCTGTTGCACGAGTTCCCAAACAAAGTCTCGGCCTAGAAGAGACGTTACTTCGTGGTCCGTAACACCGAGGGGTGGCCGTTCTCGACTCACTGGAGGGTAGCCATCCAGGACCTCGGCATCGGATTGAACCCAAAGATACGGTAGGAGGTCCGATCTTGGGCGAAGCTCGGCCTAAAGTTCGAAAACTTCATGACCGAGGAGAAACTCGTACAAGCTGGTCTAAGTCCTCCTGGTAGGTCACCAACTATTGTACTTGTTTTCTTTGTTTTGTTTTACTTTGATGTTGCATCTAACTCGGTTTGTCATCTTTTGCAGCTACTGTGGCTGACATCCCCGCTGATGAGCTCTTTGGGAGCATGCAGAAGGGGAAGAAGAAGAAGAGGGCCTCCAAGAAGGCTCGCCTCCACACCGAGACCACCACCTCTGACGTCGACGCCTCCATCCCCGAGCACCCACCAGTCGCTGAACAACCTCCTGTGATTGACTTGGATGAGGAGGACCAAGGCAAGGCTACTCCGCCTCACGTGCCTTAGGAGACCACATCTTTCGAGCCCTGGCACGCGTAGGCGACCACCACTCTGTCGAGTAGTGATACTTCTGCTTGGAGCATTTTGATTCCAAAGTTCGGCCTCCTCAAAAGCAAGGATGCGATACTCGCCGAGGAGGTCGCTCGTTGGGCTGACTTACCGGTTGCTCAGCTCGGGGTCAAAGCGGCCACACACTGCATGGTGGTAGGTATTCAATCTTCGGGTTAAATTATACTTAGATTTTTCTCCATACTTAGATTTTGGTTTTTCCTTTGGCAGGTGAACTCCTCGATCCATGCCCTGACCTACCAGTCCAAGGTGAACTTGAAGCAAGCTCTCGAAGCCGAGGAGTCCTCCCGAAGTGCCCACTCTGAGTTCAACTTAGCTCGCAATGAGATCAACCATTTGAAGAACGATGCGCGAGCCAAGAAGGAGCTGTTGACTCTGTTGATGGCGGAGAAGAAGGAGCTAGAGGCAGAGAAGAAAGAGTTGGAGGAGCGCGAGGTGACTCTGAAGAGAGAGAATGAGAACCTTGAGGCGCTGGTGAAGGAGTGGACTAAAATTCTGCTTCAGGCAATGGAGGATGCGAAGGTCAAGGCCGTTAAGGAATACAAGTCTTCGGCGGAATATTGCGAGAAGCTGGTCGAGGCCTGGACAGCGGGCTACCGCGAGGGGTTTAAGCTCAGCAGATGGTTGACTCGACGTGAATTTTCCCACCTCGGCCTCAATGCCATCACAACATTCAAGATCACTAAGGAGATGATGCGCGAGCCAAGAAGGAGCTGTTGACTCTGTTGATGGCGGAGAAGAAGGAGCTAGAGGCGGAGAAGAAAGAGTTGGAGGAGCGCGAGGTGACTCTGAAGAGAGAGAATGAGAACCTTGAGGCGCTGGTGAAGGAGCGGACTAAAATTCTGCTTCAGGCAATGGAGGATGCGAAGGTCAAGGTCGTTGAGGAATACAAGTCTTCGGCGGAATATTGCGAGAAGCTGGTCGAGGCCGGGACAGCGGGCTACCACAAGGGGTTTAAGCTCAGCAGATGGTTGACTCGACGTGAATTTTCCCACCTCGGCCTCGGTGCCATCACAACATTCAAGATCACTAAGGAGATGACCGTTGAAGACGCTAAGGACCCGGACTTCGAGGAGGAGAGCGACGACAACCTTCTCGACGATGAGACAATTGGAGAGGGAGAGGGAGCTAATGCCACCGAGGACCACATGGAGACAGATCTTCTCGCCAACGCCTCTACTAGGGATGAGAAGCCCCGAACTGACTGATGCCTCTTTTCTTGGACCCTCTTTGTAAATACTCGATTTCCCGAGCCTCCGAGCTCGACTAAATAGTTGTAATCTTTTTGTTGTTGTTTTTTTTACTATGTACTTGAAGTGCTTTATCAATGAATACAAGTATTTTGCAAAACTCTGTGTGCAAAAAATTTTTTTTAAGTATAGATTACTCTCGAGCTGGTGAGCTAAACCAAATAGGAGCAAAATTTTTCTAAGTGTAGATTACTCCCAAGTTAGCGAGCTCGACTCGAGTAGGAATAATCTAATTGTCATTGTACGTCGGGGTGAACAAATATTGTAGGGTACATGGCTGACCTGTCTGTACCTGGGCTACTTCGCCTTGCCCATGCCGAAGCGGCTGGGTTTTAATGAGCCTGTGCTGAAGAGGCGACCGGGTCTTAAGCTGCCTATGTCGAAGAGGCGACCAGGTCTTATATCATGCAAGGTCTCTTGTCAACTCGACACCATAGCCCTTAGGCTTCTGGAGTGACTTAAGGTCCTCTCACCAGTTCGTCGTCCATAGGATCAACTCGGTGATCCTATGGACTGTTGTTTTTGTTTGCGTTGAGGTTTATAGATAGTATCTCCTTAGGTTGTCAACGTTCCAAGCTCGAGGTACCTGTTTCCCTTCCATGGTCTCAAGCTCATAGGTTCCTTCTCCGAACACCCGTTTCATCCGGTAAGGTCCTTCCCAATTCGGACCGAGTTTGCCCATGCCGAGCTCAAGTGCCATTACTTTACGGAGGACCAGGTCGCCGACTCGGAATAGTCGCTTCCTGACCCGGTGTTATAATATCGAGCTACTCACTGTTGGTAAGCTGCAGTTCGAATGTGGGCCAGATCGCATACCTCCTCGACGAGGTTCAAGTTATTTTTGAGCTCGTCGTCGTTTGTCTCTTCGAACCGCAACGTCGGTACTTCAATCTTTTTCGGGATCACAGCTTCCGTCCCGTATGTGAGGTTGAAGGGTGTCTTTCCGGTCGCGTCTTGATGGTAGTCTGGTAGGCCCAAAGGACACTGGGTAGGTCGTCTATCCACAACCCTTTAGCTCACGTGAGGCGAGCTTTTAGTCCGCAAAGGATAGCCTTGTTCGTCACTTCGGCCTGTCCGTTAGCTTGTGGATGTGCTACCGAAGTGAAGTTTTGCTGAATCCCCATCTCGGCGCACCAGCTTTGGAATTTGATGTCCTCGAATTGCTTCCCGTTATCCGAAATCAAGACTTTGGGTAGTCTGAAATGGCACACAATGCTTTTCCAAAAGAAATTTTGCACATTCTGGGCTGTAATGCTTACCAACGGTTCGGCTTACACCCACTTCGTGAAGTAGTCCACTGCCACGACCAAGAACTTCCTCTGCCCAGTTGCCGGCGGAAAAGGACCGAGGATGTCAATTCCCCACTGTGCGAAGGGCCACGGGCTAGTAAGATACTTCAAATCAACAATAGGTTGATGGAGGATGTTGACATGCCTCTGACATCTGTCGTATTTCTTAACGAGCTCGAGTGCATTTGCCTTCATTGTGGGCCAATAGTAGCCCTGCCTTAATGCTTTTTGGGCGAGGGCTCTGCCCTCCAAGTGTCCTCTGCATAATCCTCCATGGATATTGCGAAGTACGAACTCAACTTCCGAGGGTCGCAGGCAATGTAGGTAGGGGAGCGTGAAGGATCTCCTGTGCAGCCGTTTGTTTATAATGACGTACCGGGCTGATTGACGCTCTACCCTCCGAGTTGCATTGTGTTCTGCAGGTAGGGTCCTGTGGAGCAGATAATCAACGAGCGAGTCAATCCAACTCAGTTCTGCTTGCAACACGGGAGCGACCTCTTCTGCCCCCCCCCCCCGAGAATGCTGGGCCGAGGCAGGTCCTCTATGTACACAGTTCACATGGTGTTGTCGCTGATACTTGCTAGTCGTGATAAGGCGTCGGCCTTAGCGTTCTTGGACCTTGGAATTTGCCTGATGAAACAAGAGCTGAAGCCTGGTAGGATCTCCTTGACTTTGGTTAAGTAGGCCGCCATAGTTGAGTCGCGTTCTTCGAGGTCACCATTGACTTGGTTAACTACCAGCTATGAGTCACTGCACACGATGTGATGTTTTGTACCCATTTCCTTCGCTAAGTTTAGCCCGACAATTAGTGCTTCATACTCCTTGTTGTTCGACGCCTCGAATCCGAACCGGAGAGTGTACTCCAGCTTCACCTCGCTCAGGTTGTACAGTATCAGTCCAACACTACTTCCTCGCTGGTTGGACAAACCGTCTACGTGGAGGATCTAGGGCTCCTCGTCCTAGGTCGGTATTGCTTTGACTGGGACCGGTGCCGCGCTAGTTGACGCCTCCTACATGTTAGCGGGCTCAGTCGGTTCATGGGTCGATGTGCTGAACGTACATTATGCTACAAAGTTCGCCAAGACTTGGGCTTTGATTGCTGGCCGTGGCTCGAACCGGATGTCGTACTCATTAAGCTCGATGGACCACTTCGTCAATCTCCCTAACACCTCTGGCCTCCATAGGATGTGCCTCAGAGGTCTATTAGTAAGGACGACAATGGTATGAGCTTGGAAGTATGAGTGTAATTTCCGAACTGCTACTACTAGCGCGTATGGCATCTTCTCGATGTCGGGATATCTGGTTTCCGCGTCCTCAGCACTTTACTTACATAATAGATGGGTCGTAACTCGCGGAGAGGTACAACTTCAACTCATCTCCTTCCTCAGGTTGGGTTAAAACCGGGGCGGTACTGAGGTACCTTTTCAGTTCATCAAATGCGAGCTGGCACTCTTCGGTCCATTCAAAAGTTTCAATCTTCTTAATTGTCTTAAAAAAGGGGAGGCATTGACCTACCGATTTAGACATAAACTGGTTTAGGGCAGCTACCCGGCCAGTCAGTTGTTGTACCTCCTTGATTTTTTGGGTTGGTCGCATTTCTAAGATAGTGGGTTAGCTCTGATGCCACGTCGGTTCACTATGTAACCAAGGAATTTACCCGACGTGACCCCGAAGACACTTGTTTGGGTTTAACTTCATATTGTATTTCCTTAAAATTTGAAAAACAACATTTAAATCATTGATTAAAGATCTAGAAAATTGGGTCTTCACGACCATGTCATTAACATAGTATTCCACTTTACTACCAATCAACGGTTCAAAAATTTTGTTTACAATCCGCTGGAAAGTTGCTCCAACGTTGTTCAAACCAAAGGGCATAACTTTATAACAGTATAGTTAGAGTTTGGTTACAAAAGCAGTTTTATCTTGGTCGGCTGTATCCATCCTAATTTGGTTGTAGTTGGAGTAAGCGTCCATGAAACTCAAAAACTCATGCCCTGAGGTCGCGTCTATTAGGTGGTCTATTCTGGGTAGGGGAAGCAATCCTTTGGGTAGGCTCTGTTCAGGTCGGTGTAGTTGACGCACATGCACCACTTGCCATTAGCTTTCTTCACAAGCACAGGGTTGGCGACCCATCTCGGGTAATGGACCTCCCTGACAAAGTCTGCGGTGAGGAGCTTCCCAACCTCCTCATTGACCACCCTCCACCGCTTTGGGGCTAGGTTGCGTTTTCTTTGTCTAACTAGCCTGATTAAAGGGTTCACATTAAGTTTATGAGTTATCACACTAGGGTCGATTCCGGGCATTTCTGTCGCGGACCAGGTGAAAACATCTAAATTATTAAGTAAAAAACTTACTAACTATGTTCGGAGCGGTTCACTTATTAGTGCACCAATTTGGAGAGTCTTGGTCGGCTCGATCTCAGAAACCGGTATGTGGACTGTCTCTTCCATCGAGGCAACTCGCTCCTCGGTGTAGTGTTGGTTGCTCCAGTTCGATGTCTTCTGCCAGTTTTGCCTTTCCCTTGAGGGCAGCCACGTAGCACTTATGGGATTCGAGTTGATCGCCTCGTATGACCCCTGCTCCGTAATCTGCCGGAAACTTCATCGCGAGATAGTAAGTTGATACTATCGCGCGTAAAGCGTGTGCAATGGCCGACCTATAATTGCGTGGTACGGGGACGGAGTCGTGACCACCAAGAATGTGTTCTCGAACCGTACAATATTCGGCTATGTGCCCGTCTCCACTGATACTATGACTGGTGACCCAACTTATAGGCCTAACTTCTTCTCCGTTGGACTCTACTAGTGGGGTATTTGCTGGTTTTAGATCGCTCTGCTGCAGTTGTAACTTGTCAAAGGTTCATTTGAAGAGGATATCAGTCGAACTGCCTAAGTCCATCAAGATCCGCTTCACCTCGAAGTCATTGATGATCAACTTTACGACTAGGGCGCTGTCATGAGGATACTGAATCCCACGAGCATCGTCCTTGGTAAAATAAATGGGTTCTTTGATTCGAGGTCACTTGGGTGGGTTCTCTGCCTCGTGCTCTAGTTCTCGGATTGAAGTCTTTCCTGCTATTGCTGTGCACCCCGCTACAATGGATCCTCCAGTGATCATATTGATCACCCGCGGATTAGTCTTTCTTCTGGCAGTGGGCGAGGTGGCTGCTCATTATACCTGTTGGTTTTCGGGGCGTCTTTCTTCCGATCTCCCTGTCGGTTCCCCTGTCCTTTCTCCTCGTGCAAATGTATTTCTTCAAGTACCCGTGATGGATGAGTTCCTTGATCTCGTCGCGGAGGTTTCTGTAGTTCTTTGTGCTATGACCATGGTTTTGATGAAAGTGACAATAAACATTCGGGTTTCTGGTCATTGGGTCTCCCTGTAGCCTGGGCGGCCATCTGACGATGGAGGAGTCTTTAATGGCCATCAAGATCTCTCCTTGCTTCGCATTAAG